CCAACTCAACCCTACACCACCCGGCTCCTGCAACTCAACTCAACCCTACGCCACCCAGCTCCTGCAACTCAACTCAACCCTACGCGGCCCGGCTCCTGCAACCCAACTCAACCCTACACCACCAAGCTCCTCCAACTCAACCCTACCCTGCCCAGCTCCTCCAACCCAACTCAACCCTACGCTGCCCAACTTCTCCAACCCAACCTGCTCAGCCCTATGCAGCTCCTCCAACTCTCTGCTCAACCCAACGCCCTTCCAACTCAGTCCAATTGTATTCTACTCATCTCCAACTCAACTCCCCTTCCTGCACAACTCCTCCAACTTAACCCAGCTCAATACCCACCTCTACACTACTCAGCCCAACCCTTCCAACCCAACACTGCCCTTCTCAGGGCAACCCTTAGAACTGAACTCAGCTCTCGCCTACCCAGCTTCAACTCAACCCACTCTGCCCTACATCAATAAACGTATCCCTTTCAACCCAACAATAATCAACAGAATCCAACATAACCCATCCAGTCCAACCTCACTCTACCCACCCTCCCAATTCAACACAAACAACCTATCTGATCTAACTCAACCTGCCCCATCCTATTCTGCTCAAGAATTCCCATGCCAGACACCCAGCCTGATCCCCTGCGCTCAACACGTGCTTGGTTTGATCCCTGGTGCCAGATGTGACAAACCTCAGCTGAACACCTCAGCAAAGCCCTCTGTGCCCCTGCCCCTATGGCTGCTGGGGTTGCTGCTGTACCTGGGGAGTTGGTGATTGTGGCATGGAAGCAGCTGAAGTTGATGAGGGCGTAGGAGCAAAGGAAGAAGTTGGAGATGATGGGGGCGATGGTGTTGAGCTCAGCTGTGGGTGCAATGGAGAGATGGGTCAATATGGGGGCGCATTCCCATCCCACAGCAGGGAGGAGATGGTCCCCTTCCACCTGACCCCACTCACCGATGAGGATGAAGGCGATGGCCAGGACGAAAGTGAGCATGTAGCCCCGGAGCGGCTCGTTGTTCTTGCCGTAGCCCTTGGCGAAGAAGCCGATGATGGGATACAGCTTATCTTGGCACAGGCACTGCGGGGGACAGGCACAGGCAAGGCAGGGGGTTCAGTGGTAGCAGAGCTACGGGTGACAGAAGGAGCACAACCCCAGGGTGGGAGGCTGGGTAGGGATGGATTTGGGCTGCGATGATCTGAATAAGAGGTGAGGACTAAAGAGTTGTTTGGAGGGATAGGGGGATGCTCTTGGGGTTTGGGGGGGGGGTCACTGGAGGTGGTGGGGTTTTCAGAAGTAGGGGTGTCTCTGGCGGTGATTTGGGGGCATTCCAGGGCACGTCATTGAGGGTGGTGTTGGGTGGGCCACTGTTTTGCAGGTGTGGTATGGATGGAAGGGGTACATTTGGGTGTCAGTTGGGGTGCTGTTGTTACTGAGGCTGTAGCTGGGGTGTTCTGTTGTTAGGCCCCCACCCCTGACACCCGGACTCACCTGGAAGACCTTGGGGGCTGAGACCAGGCAGGCCAGGGCAGAGGAGAGGGTAGCGGCGAAGATCCCAGCCGTGATGAGGGGACTGAAGCCAGACACCATGCTCATGGTCTGGGAGGGAGACAGACCTCAGGATGGGGGGGGATCAGAGAGAGACATCCCCGGCCTGCCTCTCCCATCACCCATAGCTCCCATCCCATGCCCCAAATGTTCCCCATCCCCATCAGTGTTGGCTCCTCCCCCTCACTGCTGGCTCCTCCCCAGTCCCACCCCCTCAGTACTGGCTCTTCCCCCAGTGCCACCCACTCAATACTGGCTCCTCCCCGAGTCCCATCCCCTCAGTGCTGGCTCCTCCCCCTCAGTGCTGGCTCCTCCCCTAGTCCCGACCCCCTAAGTGTTGGCTTCTCTCCTCCCTGCTGGCTCCTCCCTCAGTCCCACCCCCTCACTGCTGGCTCCTCCCCCCCTACCTGGTAGTTGTTGGCCAGCCCGTACTCGCAGGTGCCAGCCTGGGCGCACTCGGTGAAGTTCCAGCCGTAGCCGCACCCGAGGCCCAGGCAGCTGTCCGTGGCGTTGGGGGAGCCCAGCGTGTCGTTCAGACTCCCGGACGCATCACGCACCACGCACGACCCTGGAGGGATGGGGGAAATGAGTGACCACCCCCCCAGGACCTAGTGCCCCCCCCCGCAACTCCCCTGGCAACCAAGTACCCCCCAGTGACCTCCCCCAGGATGTAGAGCCCTGTCCACTCCCTGCAGCATGGCGCCCCCTAGCGAGCCCTGCCCCCCATTCCCTGCCCCATTACCTATGGTAGCTGAGATGGCCAGGTAGGAGAGCGTGGTCCAGAAGATGGCCAGCAGGGTGCCCTTGGGGATAGCCACGGCGGGGTCCTACAAACGATGATAATGGGGTGGTTATTGTGGCCCATAACTCTCAGGGGAACCAGTTCCTCTAGCCCCTGCTGGGCTTGGGGGGCCAGGAGCCCACCTTGAGGTCGCCTGAGATGTTGGCGCCGGCCAGGATACCAGTGGCCGAGGGGAAGAAGATGGAGAACATGCCAAAGAAGTTGCCCGATTCGCCCCGCCACTCCGGCCCGATGTTCTCCAGGAAGATGTCCCCTGCGGGAAGGGAGAGGGCAAGGTTAAGAGGGGCTGCACTGCCCAAGAGGGCCTCCAGTGGTGGGGAGTTCCACTGGCCCTACCTCGGTAGCTGAAGTAGCCTTTAGACATCTTCTCCTCCGTGGCTGGAATCAGGGTCCCCACAAAGTAGTTGATGAAGGAGACCATGATGACGAAGAAAAAGACAACCTGGGCCTGCAAGAGGGCAGGGAGAAGGGCTGAGAACCCAGGGGTCCCGGCTCCCAGCCCCTCCCCTGCTCTAACCCACTAGATCCCAGTCCCCTCCCAGAGCTGGGGATGGAACCCAGGAGTCCTGGCTCCCAGCCCCTCCCCCAGTACCTTGGCTTCCCACTCCATGCCAGCCAGCGCGATGCCCAACAACACTGTCACCGTGATGACGCCCACGATCCGGATGTCGTTCACGGGGTCCGTCATCACCGCGTCGAACTCCTGGGGGGCAGGTATATGGAGATGAGTTTGTGGGGGCCAGGAGGGGAGAGGGCAGGGTGGAGAGTCAGAGAAGGGAGTGGAGGGGGCCAAGTATAGGAAGTGGGACAGCTGGGCCCAGCGTGGGTCGGGGAGAGCAGACAGAGACCAACAGTAGATTGTGGACAGGGTGTGGGGTGGGGCAGGGCTGGGGGCTCAATGGGGCCCACGTACCAGCAGCTCGTGGCGCGTGCTCTAGATAAGGCCACCCTTCTCACGGCAGGCAGGTGGGGCTGGGGGTGGCAGGGTGAGGGGCAGTAGAGCTGGGAAAGGGACTTGTGCAGGTGTGTGGCAGGTGGGTACGGAGGGGTGGGTTAGGGATTGAGGCTAGAGCTAGGATTAAGGTTAGAGTTGGGATTGAGGTCAAGGATTAGGTTAGTAGTTCTAGGGTTAGGGTAGGGGTTAGATCGAGGGTTAGGATTTAGTGTAGATTTAGCTCTAGGGGTAGATCTAGGTGTATGGGTGGGTTAGGATTAGCGTTCAGGGTTTAGAGTTAGGGGTTAGGGTTAGCATTCAGGGTGAGGGTTTAGGGTTAATGTTCGGGGTTAGAGTTAGGATTAGGGTGAGGGTTAGGGTTGGGATTAGGATTAGAGTGACGGTTAGGGATTAGGGTTTGTATTGGGATTAGGATTAGCATTCAAGGTTAGGGTAAGGGGTTAGAGTTAGTGGTTAAGGGTTTGGGGTTAGGGTTGGGGTTAGGTTCAAGGGTTAGGGCTAGTGTTAGTGTTAAGGTTTAGGGGTTAGGGTTAGATTTTGGGGTTAGGGTTAGTGTTCAGGGTTAGGGGGTAGGGTTAGGGGTTAGGATTGGGGTTAGGGTTAAGCGTTTAGGGTTAAGGATTAGGGGTTAGAGTTAGCGTTCAGGGTTAGGGGTTAGGGCAGGAGTGGGCAAACTACGGCCCTGAGGCCACATCCGGCCCTTCAGACGTTTTAATCCGGCCCTCAAGCTCCTGCCGGGGAGTGGGGTTGGGGGTTTGCCCCGCTCTGCGTGTGCCATGCTCCACACGGCTCCCGGAAGCACTAGCATGTCCCCACTCCGTCTCCTACATGTAGGGGCAGCCAGGGGGCTCCGCACGCTGCCCCCACCCCAAGTACCGCACCCGCAGCTCCCATTAGCCGGCAACCGTGACCAATGGGAACTGCAGGGGTGGCGTCTACGGACGGGGCAGCGCGCCGAGCTGCCTGGCCATGCCTTCACCTAGGAGCCGGAGAGGGGACATGCCGCTGCTGCCGGGAGCTGCTTGAGGTAAGCGCCGCCTGGAGCCTGCACCCCTGACCCCTTCCAGCACCTCTACCCCAGCCCACCCCACCAGCTGGAGCCCTCACCCCGCCACCCGCACCCCTGCCCCAGCCCAGAGCCCCCTCACGCACGCTGAACTCATTTCTGGCCCCATCCAGAGACCATACCCCAACTCCCAATTGTGTGAGCATTCATGGCCCGCCATACAATTTCCATCCCCAGGTGTGGCCCTCAGGCCAAAAGTCTGCCCAGCCCTTGGTTAGGGTTATTGTTCAGGGCCAGGCCCCACCTACCAGCAGCAGGTCACGCACCGTCTCAGCGAAGCCCACCACATGCATAGCCACAGCCACAGCATTGGCAAAGGAGAAGAGCAGCCCGATGGATCCGCCCAGCTCGGGGCCCAGGCTGCGCGAGATCAAGAAGTAGGTGCCCCCTGCGCCCAGACAGACAGACGGACGGGGTCAGCAGGGGACGGGGGCTCAGGAACAGGCAGGGCTGTTGGAAGAGCCCTGTGGAGAATATGTGTGTGTGTGTGTGTGTGTGTGTGTGTGTGTGTGTGTGTGTGTGTGTGTGTGTGTGTGTGTGTGTGTGTGTGTCCCTGCTGCCCCCTGGTGGCGAGATGAGCCCTTGTGTGTGTGTGTGTGTCCTCACGCCCCCTGCTGGAGGGGATGAGCCCTGCGCTGAGTGTGTATGTGCACGACTAGTGTAACTGTGTGCGTGTGAAGTTTTGCATGTATAACTGTCTATGTGTGTACCTAAGTGTGTGTGTTATTTTATGTGTGTAGTTGCCTATCTGTGATTTTGCGACTCCAGGGTGCAGAATTTCCTGTGTGTAAAGCTGAGCTGTGTGGAGCCTTGTGTACGGATCAGCAGGTGTGTCCGCTGCTGTGTGTCTGATTCTGTCTCTTGCTGCGTATGGCTGTAGTTCAGTCTAACTGTGTGGGACTGGAGCTAGTTTTGTGTCCGCACACCTGTGCATCTCTAGCTCTGTGTTTCTAAGGTTGGGTCTCATTGTGTAGCTGTGTGTGTGGGTGGGTGTTGTCTCTCTCTTCTCCCAGCCAGGCTGAGATAACAGCCCGCCTACTTCTGCCAAAGGGGAGCACTTCCCTAGCCTCTGGGGCAAGCCCTGCTTCTGTGGCGGCCCCAGTTTGAACCCGCCTCCCTAGCCCCACAGCGCCCCCGGACGTGGGGCCCGGCCCCAGCTCTCACCTGCCTTCACCTTGCCATTGGTGGAGATGGCTGAGATGGACAAGCCAGTGATCGTGGTGACTACAGCTGACATGAGGATGATGAGCCATGTCAGCCCTGGGGGGGAGGGGAAGATGGTGAATGGGGACCTGGGGAGTGAACCCACCCCCTGCCCCCCACTTTACCCCCCCCAATACTGGGCACCCTCCTGCTCCCATTGGGGAACACCGAGAACCCACCACAAGCTCCCAGCCGGCTCCTCGCTCCTACCCAGCCAAGAGTAATTGGCGGTGCTGGAAGGGGGCCTAGCCATGGGGCGCCCCCATCCCCTCCATTACCTATTCCAGCCTGGGCCGTGATCCAAGGCAGCCGGAGATATAGGATCACGCCCCAGATGTTGAGCATGCACCGGATCTGGGGAGCGAAAAGGGAGGTGGGTGAGATGAGCCTGCTCTCCCGCCCCGCCCTGCTGACCCACTGGACCCCCACTCCCCTCCCCTCCCCGAGGGGTCTCAGTTTACCATCACGCCGGTCACCCAACCGAACCGGACTGGTTCCGCTTCAGGGCTTGCTGCGTCTGGATCCTCCTCGTCCTCCTCCTTAGCCCTGGATTCCCCAGGGTCAGGAGCGTCAGGGAACCCGGGCCCGTCCTCCTGCGTCGGTGGGGAAACAGCGTTAGACCGCCCACTGCTGAGCCCCCTGTGCCCTGCAGCACGGCGCCCCCTTCCAAGCCGTGCTCCTGTTCCC